ACATGCCCTACAACACACAGATTTTCTCCATGATATACATACTGTTCCAGCAAAATGATCTTGCCTATGCAACACTAAAACTAGCCTCATGGAACACAGATGTGCTGGACAACACACATTAAAATATCTCATAATGCACATATATGTCCTAAAACACAGACTTCCTCCACTACACCCATACATACCTTATATCATCCAAAATTGACTGACAACCGCATACTTGCCTAATAACACATGGCAATACCCCATAATAAAAAGTCTGTCCTTACCACACACAGTTTGGCCAAAAAAGTTTTCCTGCTATTACTTTCCTTACAGCAGCACACCCCACAAAGGATGGTTCACACACAGATACAATGCGTAGATATGTTCTCAACAGACAAACTTTCTGCACAAGACCAAGGCTTTCCATGAAACACTCGAATTCTCTTCACATCATACAAACTCACATCCCAAACTCCAGACTAATCTACCGACCCATGGACATGCTCCACAAGACATGGATAAAACCACAACACACAGACATACTCAGAACATATGAACTTACAGAGACTCTACCCTTAACACCCAGATAGACTCAATAAAACACACCTCTGCCTTTATAAAACCTAGCCTAGCATCATGGAAAATACACATGGAATCAACAAGGCACAGACATATCCCACTTCAACCAGCCTTGCCCTATAGCACCCAGACACATTTGAAACACAGAGATTCATTCCACCATACTCAGACTAGCTCAAAGCACCAAAAGAGGAGCCATGGCATATGGACATAATTCCAAATATATAAATACTTCTCACACATATATAAAACATATAAATATATAAATCTTCTTATAATTGTTCATCCCACAAAACCCTTCTTTGCTCCACAACACCAACACTTACCTTTCAGCACATAGAAATTCTTGATGATATATAAAAACTTCCTACAATTACAGACATGTTCATGATACTATGCTTTTCTGTAACACACCCAGACTTGCTTCAAGGCACATAGAATCACTCCATGACAGCTGAACTCACCCAATGACACCCAGCAAAATAATGAGCATGATCTCTAATACACATAATCTCCAGACAACAAAGTCTGGCCCTGAAAAAATGGGGTTGTTTGCACAGCACCAAAACTTTGAGAGCACCAAAAAATGCTGAGCGAAAACACACATAAAACCCCATGATACATAGACATTCCTCACAACACCAAAAGTCACGCCATTAATACTGAGTCTCACCGCAGCACATCGACACAGAGACTCAGACTATCACTTGAAATCCAGATCTACCCCCACCACATCCTAAGACCCCATGTTACCCAGACTTACTTTTCATAATTGCCAGACTTGACCTGTAATAGCCTTACTGGCTCCATGACAACCAGACCAGACTATTCATACAACACATAGAAAGGACCACTGCAATGTATGCTTGTCTCCACAACACTGAGATTTTTATTATAAACACATAGAAATGACGCAAAACACACACAAGGTCTGCAATGCCAAGATTTGTCCTCATAATCCCCAGATTTGCTGAACAACACCCAGAATAGCCCTACAAAACCAAAAAAAAAAAAAATGCACCACAACAAGCACACATGCCCTGCAACACCAGGTTGTGCCTTCTACCACATGGCATGCTCTATAACACACCAACTTCCCAATAATATACACTGACTCCACAGTTACTTGCCTCAACAAGTAACTGTGAGAAGTGTTGAATAACACACAGAAAAATCCCATAAAACGCAGATATGCCACACAACACTGAGATTCATCTCATAACACTCAGGTTTGCCTGTGATGGTAGATGCACCCTAACACACCTAGACCTACTCCACAGCACCCTGACTTGTTCTTCAAAACCAGAAATACCACGTATCACTCAAACACTTCCCAACAACTAGTATTGCCTGGAAATCCAGACTTGCCTCACAACATACAGTAATAACCTACAGCCAAAAAACTTCTCACAACTTACAGATTGGCCACCAAAAAAAAAACATCTTTTTCCTTTCACACTGGTGCTTGCCTCATAGCACATAGAAACAGTGGATAAAATACAGAAAATCTCACAGTGTACTGGTATGCCTTATAACACACAGACTCACTTCACAACCCCTAGACTCACCCTGTAATATCCAGACTGGCCCAGTAACACAGAGATAATACCCACAATAAGCAGACATGCCCCCAAATATATAAATTTATCTCACAACACACATATTGTCACCACAAACACTTTTTTTGCCTCTACAACAACAACAAAAAACTAGTTTCACAGAACAGAGAAATGCTGGACAGTGTACAAGCAATTAAAAAAAAAAAAACACCTCACAGACATAGCATTCATCATCCAGATTTGTTCCATAACAATAAGACAATCCCTGGACACACATATCTACCCCACAACATTAGACCAGTTCCATAAAATTACTTCTTGCTTCTACGTTAACAAGACTTGCCTCACTCAAGCTTGAAGTGCAGGAGAACATCCAGACAAAACCCCTAACATACATAAATGTCACACAGATTCACTCCATGACATGAAATATATACATATTTAGCAGAGATGCATACATATACAGATTTACAATCACAGAAGCATATATCTACACACATAGACATATAGATGTAGGCCCAAAGAGACACAAAAAGCTATACACTGGCAAACGCGTCTACATTCTCACACTAACTCATTCAGCTACACAAGAGGAGCATGCAAAGCCACATTCACATGCAGAAACACAGGTAAATCCAAAGAGACATGGCATGTGCACAGAGACAGAGATATAAACACACTTACACTCCTACAGACTCACATAGAGATGACAAGTTTGCACAGATGCATGCAGAAATATATATATAAATGTCCAAATGTTTATAGACATTTATAAACATGCAGACATGTCATATAAATGTACACATACATGTGGCAATGCACCAATATATACCTGTAAAAACACAGAGACACACAGATACACAAAGAAGTTTGTGTCTGTTGACCTGTACAAATAGACATAGAAACGTGTATCCACACTGAAAGAGTCCAGCATACCTTCACAGACACATACTTGTGCAGGCAATTGTGTGTAGTCATATGTATAAACACAAGCATAGTTGAGCATGCATATTACAGAGGCATGACACAAACAAACCCAGGAACAGAGATACATTTGTACTACAAGATGCACAATTCCCATGCCATATTGAATGCTCACATGCATACAGCAACATAAACAACTGCAAATGGACACGCATATACTCACTAAGAGATTCATCCAAATATATTCATTTGCATGCTGACAGATTTATGCAGATACACACATATGGTTCCATAGACATGCAGATGGTCATACAAACATATGCGTGTAAACACAGGTGGATGATCACATAAACACTAAGGCATGCTCATGTGAATATAGAAGCACCTAGACACAGACAAACAGACTAACAAGCTAGAATGTTCAAGTACAGACACAGATTCACACCCAGATGCACATACATATGTTATGTACACATAGATACATAAGCATGTGGAAGCTAACATGGATGAATGTTTGCAAGCAGTAAACATAATGACCAAATATGTCCACACAAACACAGGTGCTATCTTGTATGCATGGATTCATGCAGTAATAAATGCAGGTAAATACAGGCATGGACTCACAGACTTACATATGTACGCACAGACATGGTAATGGTCCCTAAAGAAGACAAGATTTCACCCATTTAGATGGTGACACACTCAAAACCCCTCTTACAGGCACATGTACAAAGAGTTCTAGAAATGCACCTGCATATACAGACGTGTAAGTGCACATGCAGATGTACACTCAGATTCCATGTACATTCTCACAGAAATACCCAAGCAGCCCACATACTAAGCATATAAAGGTAAGAGACATACACATATATGTATTGTCAATGCATACTTAAACACACTCCAAAATGTGCATAAGCACATATAGATATCCACAGACACACAAATGCATAGGTACACAGACATGTATTTTCACATATCAATTCATATTGGCACACAAGGTAATCAACAAATGTATGCTTATGCTCACGACACAAAAGCCCTAAATGCACATTGAATATATGAATGCACCACATACACATGTGCCAATATAGGTATGCGGATGCATTAGCAGACTTAATCATACCACAGACAGAAACACATACTTGCACATGCACAAACATAAAGACACATGCAGATGTATATATATGAAAACACAGACACCTGACCACAAATAAACACTTTGTCAAAGGATGCTGTGACTTATAATTTGCCCTTGTCTTAGCCTTTTCAAGAAAGAATAAAAATTATAAATTCTGACCAGGTGTGGTGGCTCACGCCTGTAATTCCAGCATTTTGGGAGGCCAAGACAAGAGGGTTGTTTGACAGGAGTTTGAGACCAGCCTGGGCAACATGGAAAATCTTCATCTCTAAAAAAAAAAGCAAATTAACCTGGCATGGTAGCGTATGCCTGTAGTCTCAGAGACTCAGGAACCAGAAAGATTGCCTCAGCCCAGGAGATCGAGACTGGGGTGGACCATGATCAAGCCACTGCACTCCAGCCTTGGCGACAGAATAAGACCCTGACTCAAACATAACACATAACACTCAGTGAAATGAAGGTCTTAGCCTAGTGCGTAGAATGTCACAGATGCTGCTGCTAACTGCTGTTATTTTTTGGTTTGGCTACTGGCAAAGTGCTTAACTAGATAGCATTAGTTTATTTGTGTGTGTGTGTGGTCAAGCTGCATGATTATATCAGAGAGATGTATTAACCAACATTATTTGTAAATATATTAATAAATAATAATTTATTAATGTAAGACTAGATAATGTCAACAAATAAGGTCATTTCTGAAATTCACAGAGATGATAAGAACTTATGACCTTCCCTGGCAAATGGAATGACATGAAAGAAATATTTCCTGGTATTGTTTGTTGCTGTTGCTATCATTAATGTTCTTTTCCTTTTTGCAGGAGGAGATGGAAGATTCAGGAAGAGCAGAGAAAGGGATGTGGAGATAGGGCTTCGTGCCCAGTGCACATTTGCCACCTAGTGACCAAGTTGAGTAAGTACCATATTTGTGGATTGCTCAGAAACATACCCAAAACCATCCATTGCAAGGTTGTGTGACCCATCTGGCGAATAAGCTCACATATATCAAGTTACAGCGGTTTCTGCTACATCTAGAAATAAAAAAGAGTCATAAAATAAAAAGAAGTTTTTGCATTTGTGTGTCTGTGGTGTCTATCCACCACCCCAAATTTCCCTCTGAGCTTCACTGAGACCGTGTTCTTTAGCAGTGGTCTTTACACTTTTTCATTATTTGCCATCTAAAATCATTTTGGAAAACGATATACTCCATTACACATCTTGAAGTTAACATTTGAAATTTCTTATCATAAATATAGCTGGGTGTGGTGACACGGACCTGTATTCCCAGCTACTTGGGAGGCTGAGGAGGGAGGATTGCTTGAGCCCAGGAGTTTTAGGCTGCAGTGAGCTGTGATGTTGCCACTGCACACCAGTCTGGGTAACAGAGTGAGACCCCTAACTCAAAAAAAAAAAGTTTAAGTATTTGGAGAGTTATCACTTCAAGCAAATTTTAAATATTATACTTTTAGATAAATTGAGTTCATCATATTTTTGCAAGCATTTAATGAAATAAAAAAACCATACTAATTTGAAACTTTTTATTGCTGTTTAAAAAGAGCCAGAATAATGAAGGAAGTCTTTAAAAGAAATTTTACATGATTTTTCCACCTCCAATATCACCATTTCAGTTTCCCTTACATAACTTATCCTAAAGTAATATATTTATTATGTTTAAAGGTTCTTTTTTTGTCATCTTACCATTAATCTCTACAAAAGGTATATAGGGATTGAAATAAATTTTTTGTGACACAAATTCTGTAAGTATTAATATTTTTATTATTTAATTAGTAGTAGTACACAGTTAATCAGAAGAGCATAAAATATTACACATTTTGATAAGTGACTAGTAAAGCTGAAAAATAAAATTAGTTAGAATTACATCTCTTAAGTGAACATGACTTTTTTCCAAATTAGTTCTTGAATCTGAGGATGACATATGCTTTTTTCTAATGAGACAAACTGCAATATAAATTTTGTTCTTGTTTTTTTATTTTATAGATGAAAGAACTCAGAATATATTGTTCCCATAAATAAGTAGAAAAGAATGAAATGGGTGTCCAAGTCATGGGCCAAAAAACACACAATGACATATCATCAAACATAATTTTTTCTTCTTTTATTATTTCTTTTAAAAATATGGGGTACAAGCCGGGCTTGGTGGCTCAGCCTGTAATCCCGCGCCTTTGGGAGGCTGAGGTGAGTGGATTGCCAGAGCCCGCGGGTTCGAGACCCGCCTGGGCAACTTGGTGAGACCTCATCTCTACAATAAATAAAAAAAATCAGCCGGGCGTGGTAACGCGCGCCTGTAGTTCCAGCTACTCGGAAGACTGAGGCGGAAGAATCGCCGGAGCCCAGCAGGTCGAGGCTGCGGTGGCCGGGAGCGGCCCCTGCACTCCAGTCTGGGTGACAGCGTGAGACTCCAACTCAAAAAAAAAAGGTGTACAATTCAAACTTAGGTACATAAGTGGTCACAAATCAAAAATTTTTAAGTAAAATTTTAGTTTTTGACAGAGAACTTGATTAGGCCTTTAATTCTGTGAAAACAAAGAAACCCTCTGATTTACTAAAGGATTTGTTGCCGAGTTATTTACTAATTAAATTTCCGAAAAGTTTACTAAAACGGCTTTCTAGAATTAATCAAATGACTGTTATATGTTATGCTTTCATTTTGAGACATAATTTTCAATCAACTATACTTATAAAAATCTGAGAAAATAAAGTACTTACAGTAATATATCTTTGCCAATACAATAATTTTAATAAAATACTTTTAACTTATTATTAATCCTTTGAATATAAAACTTGAGGCTACAGATTTGAATCAACAACTTTATAGAAAATATTTACAATATAATTTAATTGACAAAAGCAGTGTTCATATCAACATAATTGGCCAAATCCAATTTACTTTCAGAAAAAGTGTCTGACTTCATTTTTCAATAAAAAAGTGTTAATATACATTTTGAGGAGCCTTATTAAAACCAGGGAGAGGTCAGTTATTGGACACCTCTTTTAAATAGATAACTAACAAAGTAGATATAAGATTAGAATAAAAATGAGATTTTCATCCACTTCAAAATAAATTAAGAAATTAAATAATAATTTTCTTACATGCAATTTTAAATTAAATGATGTAATATGTAGCCATGCTTGAAACAAGAAATACACGCATGTATATTTTGGAACATTGGGTTGAATTTTTGGGAATAATTAACTAAGACTGACACACCTTTTTAAATCCATGAATTTAGTTACACCACAAAACAAAACTTTTCAACTATATTTTATAAGCCATAAATGTAGGTATTGCTAAAAAATAATTGACCTAGCAATTAGCATTCTATTTTACTTTTCATAACATAAAGTAGAAAATATAAAGATTGTTAATAAAATGAAATGAGGATCTATTTTAATCTATTTTAATTAGAAAATATACTTTAAGATACAGTTTGAGCAAATAGGTTCTAACAATTTTAATTGAGCAATGTGCCCTATATGAAGGAAATCACATACAATATCTTTTTTAAAATAATTTTTAAAATATATTTTATTTTTTGATAGATTATATTTGTTTTTATTTATGGAGTACATGCAAAATTTTGTTGCATGTGTAGAATGTGTAATAATCAACTCTGGGTATTTTGTGTATATATCACCTTGAGTATCATTCCTATATGTTGGATACGTTTCAGGTCTTCTCTTTTAGCTATTCTGAAAAAAATGCAATACATTGTTGTGAACTGTAGTCAGCCTACTCTGCTATCAAAAATTGGAACGTATATAAGCGTTTCATTAATTATACACTATTTAACTGTGTTTCTACCCATTAACCAATCTCTCTTCATCCCCCTACCACCTACATACTGTCCCCAGTCTCTGGTTTCTATCATTCTACTTTCACCTTCATATGATCAACCTTTTTACCTCCCATATATGTGAGAACATTTGATATTTGTCTCTCTGTGCCTGGTTTATATTACCTAACATAATGACATCCTGTTACATCCATGTTGCTGCAAATTGCAGAATTATTTATTTTTTATGACTGAATAGTATTCCATTGTATATATATACTACATTTTCTTGATCCATCCTACTGTTGATAAACACTTAGATTGATTCCATATCTTGGCTACTGTGAATAATGCTGCAATAAACATGGAGGTATATGCAGCCCTTTGATATATCAATTTCTTTTCCTTTAGATAAATACCCAGTAGTGGGATTGCCAGTTTCTATAGAAAGGTTTTATTAGTGCAAACATTTTTTAGTATTCGGAAACTGTCCAATTATATTTAAAATCAGCATCAGCAATATATATTGCTATTAAGTGTATCTCCTGATAGTATCCCTACTTATGCACTTTTTGAAAATAATACCTGCCACAGTAAACTAGTTTGAAGACCACTATTCTAGACTGTCTCCAGCTATATTATTCCAGAGCAATATAATGTTGTCATTATTGGAATAACCAGTTTATTGTAGTTGACATTCACAAGTGGGCGGTGGAAGTAGCTGCCACTCTTGAATTTCTGCCAAATGTTTCTGTGATTAATCATGTTTGAGTAAAATGTTCTGGAAGAGATTTTTTTCTTTGTTTTGTTGATAGATACATATATTGACTAGACCCGTGTTGTCCAGTACGGGAGTCACAATCACATATGGCTACTTAACATTAGAAATATGACTGGTAGGTAGCAGACAACAGACACTCTGGCTATTGTCCTCACAACATGCCTTTCCTTGAATAAATCCATGTTTCCTAGTTCAAAATAAAAAAGAAACATGGCTAGTAAAAACTGAGATATGCTGTAAGCGTAAAATACATACTGGATTTTAACGACACAGCAAATATAAATTAAACATCTCACTGATATTTTCACAGTAATTTCATGTTGACATCAAAATATTTCAGGTATATTGTTAACTGATGCATATCATTAAAATTGATCTCAGTTGACTACTAGTCTTTTTAAAATGCCACAACATGAAAATTTAAAATTAAATCTAAATCCATCCAAGTTGCTGCAAAGTTCATATGTTTGTCCTTCTTATAACTGTGTAATATTCCATTGTGTATGTGTAAAACTTTTTTTTTTTATCCAGTCCAGTTTCGATGGGCAGCATGGTTGACGTTCTCTCATAAGCAGACCTTAAACATTTACTATAATACTATAAGAAAGGGATTGGCAGTAGTGGGATACTACTGAGGTGAGGGGGGATCATGACATCAATAAGGGCACCTGATCTCAAACCAGGCAAAGTGGGGACCAAAGGGAGGCCCAAACTTTATCTATTTAATGTCTACTTTTATATCAAATCCTGAATGGTATGCTACATCTTTGCAATAAAATATATATAAAAAATAAAATTTGAATTTACTTGCATGGATCGCATTATATATATTATTGATTGCACTGTATTGTATGATAGCACTTGTTTAAAGCTTATATTGAAAATCTCTAACTTTCTCTAAAACCACAATTATAAAAAAACTTATTGTCCACTAATCTGGTCCAGTACATTGGTGTTCTGATGTAACTGGTACCTTTTACTAGTAGTTGGTGTTCCATGTTGGGAATTTCTTCTTTTTTTTTGAGTTGGAGTCTCACTCTGTCACCCAGACTGGAGTGCCTGATCGCTCCCGGCCACCGCAGCCTTGACCTGCTGGGCTCCGGCGGTCCTTCTGCCTCAGCCTTCCAAGTAGCTGGAACTACAGGCATGCCCTACCACGCCCAGCTAATTTTTTATTTATTGTAGAGATGAGGTCTCGCCAAGTTGCCCAGGCAGGTCTCAAACCCGTGGGCTCAGGCAATCCACTCACCTCGGCCTCCCAAAGCGTGGGATTACAGGCTGAGCCACCGAGCCCGGCTCATATTTGAAATTTTTATGTAACACTAAGAAAATATTATT